TAATAATAGTAATAATAATAATGAAATTAGGTGTCCGATAGAACAAAGCGTCATTTCCAGTCGAGGTACAGATAAGATACCGCAGCTATATCGTAACGCGTTTGGAAAAGCGCGTCCTCAGAAAAGCAACAGAGATTTGAAATTTTTGTTACATTTTGATATGTGTTTAGACGTAAGCTTACTCAACTGAATTTTGATTTCTGTTATTTTCTTTTTGGCAGAAAGGACATCACTTCTTCCAGAAGCGCATGAAGGACCTTCAAAGCAGCGTCTTCAAATGCAGCTTTTTTGGGGCACCTTTCGTGGCCATAACGGATCATGAAGGAATACAGTGCTTGTTCGACCAAAAATTGGTGAGATGCTATGTTGATTGTAACAAAGCGATTTTGTGACAAGGTTACAGTTTCCAAATTCTTGTAGCTGGCGTTTAAATTGAGGGTGAAAACTGACGCCTCTCTACTCCTTTCCATTTCTTTTTCGAAAGAGAGGGCGTCTCCTTTTGTTCCTCATCTTTCGGGGTCGTGTTCTTTCCCTTCGTTGTATTCGCGCTAAAACAGTTTGGTTAACGGTTGGCGAAATTATGTGTTTATGAACCACAAACAATCACAAGGAAGTTGAAACAAAATTACCGTAGACTCCAGAGGCAATTCTTCCTATCTGAATTGTTGGCCAGTTTTAAATCTTTTGATGTGTAGGTGATATCGACAGTTAGTGTAATGTTTAAAAGATCGTCAAACTGGGCCTTTACTTGTAGGAAATAAATGTGTCGTTTCTCTTGAGGCACAACAGTTGGAATTGCCTCAAGTTGAAAAGAATAATTTTTTGTATCAATTTTCTTTTCTAGGTAGAAAAGGAACCCGGATTTGGAAATTTCCGTTTCAATCAAAGCCTTTTGGGGGACCACGTACCTTCCATGTTTTCTAACGGCGACAGACACCGTCAACAGAAGGCATTTCTGATCGCAGTTTCACAAAATATGCTTCGAATGGGTCGGCATATACCTAATATCATGGACATAATGCCGGAACATTTGATTAAATGGAATTTCAAAGAAGGTGAGAACAAATGCATTTCTGACATTCCCGGGGCAAAGGAGGTTAAATCAGAAAAGAGAGGTTAGACAAAAACCAGAATGATCACGACGGCCAATTCGAAGAACGCTGAGAATCTCAAAGAGCCAGTGAGCACCTTTAGTAAATTTGTGCACGCAGCTTCGAGCGCTTGAGAACGTGAATGACCAAATCGCTATTGTTGTACATTTATCGTATAATTGATTTACACGGTGGAAAAAGGTTTGTTGATCAATTATAAGACGTAGAGATGCGAACCAATGCAATCTAGTTACTTTAACACTCGGTCGAAAGATCTTTAGAGCGTTATCTGAAACGTCTACTTTAATTTGTTCCTAGGGACCAATCGATATTAATTGACGGGGGCGGGGTAGAGGATTTTGGGGATCACATGATTGCAGAGGGAACAGGGGGGAGATCAGTCGTCGCCGACAGAGTGTAAAAGTAAAATTAACTGCCAACACGGGAGGGGGGAATGTCATAAGAATATCACAGAACTTTTTGAGGGGATCAATCAATCCATCAAAATCCTCCACCAACCCCCCCCCT